ATAAGAGTTTATTGTGTTTCCATTAACAATACACAATACAAATACTGATATTCAAATTTCCCACGAAGCTTCCATTCGTCTTCCTTCTAAAAAATGCAAATATATTTTCTTAAACAAAATTTATTAGTAACATAATGTGAATCACAAATACACGAGAAGAAATGTACTTATTATTATTTATAGAAAAAATGTTAGACGATGAAACTCATATTCTAAAGAAGAGGAAGTTCAAGATCCCATCCAGATGCTGTTTTAGCCTACTGTAACTATGTTTCTACATGACAAGTAGCAAAGAAATTAAACGAAAATTAATGAGAAGTATTAAATTGGCACCACTTACATTTGTTTTTGAGGTCATACGCCTACGTGGAAATAAGAGAGGCATTACTTTCAGAACTACCTACGTTTTATAAAAAGGATTAATACACATAAAAAATGTGTATTAATCCTTTTATAAAACGTAGGTAGTTCTGAAAGCGTGAAATTGTAATTAACGGAAGCATTGAATGTATGAAGAATATGACCAGCTGACATGCATCATCATTGTAATTTAGAACACCTAGATAAAAATAAATTCGGAAACTTTATAGTATTTATGTTGCAATAAACAAAAAACATGGTTGTTAATAACAATAATGATTATATCATTATTATTAATAGAAGATTATTATTAATAGAAATAATTTTTACTCTTCATGTAGATAATCCAGTTAAATCGAGAAACATTTAAAAATTGTAGAAAGAATTCATTTCGACGTTCGATTGCCAGATGAGAGCTGTATATCTTGACAAGACTAAATTAATTAATTTCAGATCCGGATTGTCTCAATGGTGTCAGCTAACCAGTTGCGCTGCACTCAGATGTGGAAGAACCGACTCAACTGTAAATAATATATTTTGTGACTCGAAAGAGTGCAGTCTGAATATGAGTCCCCTGGACATTCGGTAAAGTTACTATCAGCGTGAAGAGGTCCAGCAGCAGTAGAAACTTACCAGCTCGAGCAACATCTGTGTCAAATACGTTTTTAATGTTGTGACCCTTTGATGCCTGGCAGAAAGAGCTACTGAATCCAGGATCTCTGTCTCAACGACCAGAGGTAAGGATCGTAGATCAACTGGACGAACGACGAAAGTGTAAAGCAGACGAAAATACGAATGTTGTCAGATGCTAATCATCATCAAAACAATTATAAAATGTAATGCATGATCTTGTCAAAAAGTAACCGACTTCTGAAACAACAGAAAAACAACTAGCTGAACAGAGAACATAGAATGGAATAATTTCATCACTACCTCTTGCACCAAAGTCCTCCATTCACAAAACTTCAGCATAGAACTCGAAGTCAGCCCGCGTCCGAAAAGGAGAAAGAAAAACCAGAAGGAATACAGATACTGTTTCGGAAAAACCGTAGGTGAAGGAAATGTTAGAAAACGAACAAACTCTAAAGCAAAATAGGACACGCAAAAGGGTGAAAATCAGGTACTTAAGGCAGATCCACGTATAGTCATGAAAACTGTAAAGCCACAGACAACAGATGAACCACCATTATTCAATCAGCGAATTCAATAACAACATGAACATTTCAGCCTACCTCAGGGCGGCAATCTTGGTATGGCCTAGCGTAGTGTTTATCTCCGGGCAGCCATACTGGTCCACTGTTTGTCGTGTCGACCCTACCGAAAGAGGAGAGAAAACACTTCTACGCTCCGCTCTAGTCTAGCAAAAGTCGAGTGACAAGCGAACACTGCAGGGGGCCGCCGAGGGAAATCTGGCCTCAATTCTTTAATTTGAGCAGCCCTGACCTTCATTATGACCGACGATCTTATGAGATTTTTCTATGGTGTCTTAGAGAAAGATCCATGACTTCCAAGAGAGTGGTGGTAGCCTAATGAATCTGTACTAAGACATTCTATAGAAAACCTAGAAGTCAGCCCCACTTGTCAAGCACTATCGTCATACAGATGTCTGAATTTACCGAAGTTTTGAAACGGGTAATGGCTAAGGCGAATAAAATCAAACGCTATACCTCCAACGTTGAATAGTATCGTAAGAACCGTCACTTCTGCTATAATCAGCACCAATTTTACCATGCCATCAACGGAGAGCGAGCGCACTATCAAGCATTTCCAGATACACATGAAAGGATGGAACACTGGCGCAAGCAATGTCAAGATGACGAAAAATTGATTCACAACTGATCCACGCCAAGTTCCAAGTCCATGGTTACTGGCACAAACTGGTAATAAGCATTCACTCCAAACTCGCTCAAGATATGGGTGATATATTTCAAGCAGACACACCACAATAATCTATGAATCCTCAACACACGACAATTACCAAACACGAGATGAAGTTCTCTGATACTAACGGCCCATAACATGTCTCCCAAAGGCAACCAAGATCTTCACACTCATTATAGAAGATTATATTGTTATCCACAATTATTCCCATACTCCAAATTTTACACATTTATTTTAAAAAATCAAGTTATTTGTTTTCGCATTCCTCTTCTTCTCTGTATTTTATTACTATTATTTCCCAATTTATCATTATTCCCATTTAGTTCCAAAGTGGAATTGCTCATGGGTCTAAGGAAAATTTATAGTTCGTGAGTCGATAGACTTGTCGAAACGGGATTTTAAATTATGAAAATTTACGTTGGATTGTTTTATTAATTTTAAATTACTTGAATAAATCGTTCCGAATTATTATAATTTTGCTTTAACAATTATATTTTACTCAGTTTTGTTCCACTGTTGCTGGTACGAAGAATCGAAAACATCAACTATGACATTGTAATAAAGACCTGATTTCCGTACTATATAACACTTTCACACACTTCATCATTCACCAGATATATATGACTTTCTCATAACCAAGCTAACTCCGATACTCTCTTATGAATATTTCTTACATCTAAATTTAGCATACCTTCGTCTTCTTAGATGGAATATTTAATGATCACACACTTTCTTATTGGTTCCCCACTGCATTCTTGGCATGTATTTAGCCCTTCCAAACAGCTCCCGTGGCGTCAGCGTTGACGCCCAATGACTCCATCGAGAATCGTCCTGTCTCTGGCAGCGTAAATGGGGGTCATTTTCTAAATGAGTCAATTTTCTTTTACCCTCTGAAATTTTGAAAAAACAAATTAAGTGTTTCAGTGTCGTCCTACAACAACGTTATTGAAAATTTATATTTTCATAATGTAATCTGTTCTTCAAACTCAGATTGTTTTCAAAACGCCCTTCCATCCGTCTTAATCAATAAGTCAAGCGCATGAACTATTCACAGGATTTCTATCAAAATGAATATTCCTCATTCACTGTACCACGAGATCTTTCGATTATGAATTTTATTTTAATTTTTGGAGGACTTAACACTAATGAACATTTCCAAATTTTCTAAATTATGACTCCAAAATAATTCTTTAAAATTCATTTTTACTTTTCTCCCCGGATGTTTAATTACTTTTTGACCCGATTTTCATCAATATTGATTTTTAATCAATAACCCTGCGACCGTATCCTTGGTTTGAGTTACGATGGAAGGATTTACGAAACTTGCTTGTCAGCTAGGTGAAATTCAATCGCTGACAAGAGAAAAATTTTAGCGGTAAGCCGGTGGTTTCTCCGATCAACACTAGGCGAATGCTCGAAAAGTACCCTAACCAACGGGTCACGAACTGCACGCGATTTTTCCTTCCACTTTCTTATCTTGACCCCTCACTTACAGTTACACTAACATGCACTACACTATCATTCATGCCGGAAGACCGGTCGGGATCTAGGAGCTTGTCCCGGTTGGGGCGGTGCCCGGTGGTGGGAGATACCTGGTTGGCGAAAACCCCGCTAGCTGTAAGTTGGCGCCGGATCCCGCCATCAAACGAGGAACGAATCAGCGTGACCTTCCGAGGAGAAAAACAAGCACTACACTTATGGGACTAATGACAGCCGTTCAATCACTAACAACCAACCAACCTGGGTGAGGGTGTAGATGAGGTTAAAGTAGCCACTCCGTGTTTTTCTTTAGCTTTAAGCGTTTCGTTTGATTCACGGAAGTTTTCGGGCGCATCAAGCTCTTTGCTCTGTAGTGTAATGACTTTTTTATCCCGGGAGGAGACGATGTACCCTACTAGATGGTGAGTTCTTGCGCTGATGTACTCGTTGGCTTGTGGGGTATTTTCTACTCCAGTTATATCTCCCAACTGGGCTCCGTCTCGACCGAGACAAGCCCCTGACAAGTTCCCTAGATTTGTGGTAGTGCACTGCATGTACGTGAGTAGAAGGAGAGAATAGAACAAAGAAAAGGAAGACGCAAGACCCCATCGTCTAGAGTAGGGCTCCGAAATCCACCTGACGTTGATACGAGAAACCACGGAAAACTACCGACATCTAGACGCTAGGATTCTCCTCCAGCACACGGCTGAATTCGACCTAACCACAACCAGCGGGACTCTAATTCTATAACCTCACGGTCGGCGTAGTTTTGGAGACATCGGCAATGTTGACTCTGAAGTCGGTGGGTCGTGCTTGGGGCTAGCGATTCTTACATTATGATGATTGTCTGGTTCTGACGAGAGAACATGTGTAATCGATGAACTTGTGACGTAAAAGGTGCTCATATGAAGACTACCAAATAAATATTGGTTATTGGTTTTACTGGCATTTCTAAGACATGTTTAAGGTTGTTTTTCTGTTCATTTTAAATTTTTCATGTTATACTGTACTGTTTTGTTTTCTTTCAGATCTTTAACCACATATTTAACAAAATTATGTAAAACTGTGTTTGTACTCAATTATTAACGAATATTGCTGCTGTAGCTATGGAAATGGTCTTTAAAAACATAATCCAGATTATTTCAATAACCTGGGATTTTGAGAACTTTTTAGAACTAGATTAAACCAAGGTTGAAAAAAACTTTCTAAGCAAACTGCACGCCTCCCAGGCGCAAGAGCCGCCCCTTGTGACGCCCTTTGCGCCGGCGCGTGTTGCAGAGGTGGGTCGGCGGGGCTTCCACGAGGCCGTGTTCGGCGGCGTGGGCGACTTCCTGCCGCGCGACGCGCCGTCCGTGCTGGGCCCGCGGGCGGGCGCCGCCTTCGCGGGGCGCGGCAAGCGCAACCCGCTGGGCTTCAGCGCGCGCGGCTTCCACGGCGACGCCTTCGACCGCGACTTCGGCGACTTCCAGCCCGTGCGCCGGCGCAGGTGAGCCAATTCACCGACCCCACCCACACCCTCGCCTTTTCACCAAGGGACCACGTCGACGTGGGGAGATAACGTAGTCAGTATCTCACGTTTTATTATATAAATAAAAATTATATGAAATACGATTAAACAATTACGAATTAATTAATTCCACTGATTGTCTTCAAATCCAAGATACTGAATATAACAGAATTTAAAAACAATCAACGTATCTAATTTACAATATAAAAAAGGTAGTTATTGCGATCAATTAAAAAAGTAGTTATGTGGTATTGTGTTCACAAATTAGAAGTAATAGCAAATTATAAGAGTTTACTCTATAAATGTTAACAAACTACAAAATCAAAATCATACTGAAAAGAAGCGAGTTAGCCATATACCAAGAAGAAAAATAGTCGCAAGCAGTGTCACAGTAACCAATGTCCCTGTAGCACAGCACAGTTCATCAACACTCCGACAGAATCGCCAGTCCACAACACAGTGGAACATACGCAGTAAACAATGTCGACGGCAAAAACTCTCTCAACTCACTTATTACACTGATTGCCGTGTCGCTCCCTGACCTTCCATGTGTCCAGGCGAAGACTCAATCCCTTAGCTCGCACTACGCTCGCGGTCGACAAACTCACCTCTGGAGACCTTGCTTTGGGTTCATCGCTCGCCGCTTCCTCCGCATTTATCCGCAGCCGACGCGCCGCCTCTTCGCCGCGCGCGCTATTTACCCGCCCATAGCACTCGGGATTTTGTTTGAAACGGTTCATTGCATGTATAAAAGTTACTCCGTGGCGATTACCGAATTATGGACGAAAGATAATATAAGTTGAAAAACTTCAAAATACTAAGATATTGTTGGTTAAGAAAGGAATCATAGTACAGTTTCACATACACTCAGGATCAAGGGCGTTTAATTACATAGGCAATATTTATATAACTAACTATTATAAATGTGTCAAGTGGACATTCATTCACTTTGGGGATCAAAATCATTTCTGCGTGATAGATGCGTAAAAAATCAGATTACTATAAAAGATGTTTCGTCTACGACTGTATACTGTTTCACAATCACGTATGCTTTTACAATATTTCTTGCAACACACGAGCAATTTAATAGTGAAACGATATTAAATCATCAAGATTTTAATAATGTATTCGTTGGGAACTTATTATGTTATGCCTGACATCTATATCTTTATATTTATATAACTTACGCCCCATTCTGTACGGAGCAGGTAATGCTGAAAACCTATTCTTTCCTATGAGCATACAATATGACTTATATGCGGAGTTTATATATTAATGAAAAATCAGCCTTTTCGTTTTGATAACACGATTGCATTTATTGATTACTTTTGCTTATTTATTTATGATATTAAATAAATCGTTTACCCGTCATGCCATTGAATTGAGCCTTACTTGGAGCAATTAAGTTAATTAAAAGGACTTTACGTTAGTGAAGGTTTATTATGTGTTACCTTCTTTGCAAAGAATTATTGTTTGTGTGTCTTGTACGATGTCTTCTTTCGTGATGCATCAAATTTACGAAGGTTATATTCTCTTCATAGCCCGCGTTGTTAAAGTCCCAGATCTTCGGCGAAGATCCCCGTCTTCCACCAACAATCTTCTAACTTGATGCAAGTCTTGTTTACGTTGTTATCCAAAGTTCAATGTTAAGTACCTCACAATATTTATATAACTAACTATTATAAATGTGTCAAGTGGACATTCATTCACTTTGGGGATCAAATGTTTTCTTTACGACGTACTCGCGTCGGCGACCAAATGCTTTCTGCTCAAATCTTGACGTTCATGCCAATTGTCAACTTTTTTTTATTGTTTTCCAATATGGCAACCCAATGTTTTTTTGTAAACAATAGACACTATTTTATTTTTGTTCTCGGGTTCCAATACTTCGACTGAGTCACTACACTACACTTTTTTGTAATTAATAATCCCACCAAATTATCTGGATATGTCTCAATAGAAATATGCATATCGTCTTCGCAGATTATGTTAAATCATTAGACAAAGTAAAAAATCTAAAAAAAGGGGTAGGCTGATACATTTTGTTGAAGAAAAATGTACATGCATACAAATTTCTAAATTCAAATGTTTGAAGACGTATCAGATATATCAAAAATAGTTCATCTTGCAATTCGATAAAACGATAATTAGAAGACTCGTAAAGCCATTGTAACAGAAATCTATGTCAATGAAAATGAATAATCTAATTTAAACCTTTCATTGCACATAATGAAAATGAGATTCAACAATACATTTCATTACACAACAACGCTATTGTTCACAGATGACCAAGTAAAAATCTCGTGTAGCGAAAATGAACTCCAGATATCAAACCCTGAACTGCAATAACTACGCCTCTCTTGAAGTTGTTTGTTAGCAAGTGTTTGCAACTTTTTGTGGTAAACCACTGTAATGTTGTTATAAGCATTTCTTTAAAATTGAGAAAATCGTCAATCTAACTGTGTGCATACTGAAATGTATGAATAATAAAATAGAAGGATGATTCTACCCCAACAGTTTATTGTGCTTCACAAGCTTTACAATCAAAAAGTGACTTTACAATTATACAATAAATAATCCAGGTGTTTCACTTGCCAGCGAGAAAGAACGAAGTTCGTAGCTGTAAAATTATTATTACCGCATATGTTGACCACTGAATAGGCCTTGTGAAGCACTATTTACCTACCCTTGAAAAGTATATGAATAAGGATTAAAATCAATCCTCATTGTCACCATCGCAAAAAACGTAGGTTCAAGTTCATCTCGGAAGCTTCGTGATAAAATCAACTGGGGACCTAGGCTCAATTTCCAGTGAGAATTCATGATTTCAACAATTTTCATTTTTTATTGTAATGTGCATTCCATCAAGATGTGTATCAATTCATTTATAGGCACTAGTGTATTGCAAAGGTAAAGGATATTTCTCAATATCTGTGCAATTTAATTAATCGCTGATTAAGGTAATTTATAATGTTTCAGATCCGTGGACGCCTCGCAAGCTTCTCCTTCCGCACCAGCGACATCTGCCGAACAACCCTCGTGGACGCGCGAGAAGAAAGAAGCAGTGAAACGAAGACCTGAAATGGATGCCTCCGGTTTCCACGGAGATACATTCAACAGCGGATTTGGAGATTTCTGGCCCATGAAGAAGAGGAGGCCTGAAATGGATGCATCTGGATTTCACGGTGATACTTTCAACGGCGGCTTCGGCGATTTCTGGACCATGAAGAAGCGTCGCCCGGAAATGGATGCCGCAGGATTCCATGGCGACACGTTTAACGGCGGTTTTGGAGACTTCTGGCCGATGAAAAAACGCAGGCCCGAAATGGACGCATCTGGTTTCCACGGCGACACTTTCAACGGAGGTTTTGGCGACTTCTGGACCATGAAGAAGCGACGTCCGGAGATGGACGCCACTGGTTTTCACGGCGACACTTTCAACGGAGGTTTCGGTGACTTCTGGCCCATGAAGAAGCGAAGACCTGAAATGGACGCATCTGGTTTCCACGGCGACACTTTCAACGGAGGTTTTGGTGACTTTTGGACTATGAAGAAGCGACGACCAGAGATGGACGCTACAGGTTTTCATGGAGATACCTTCAACAACGGCTTTGGTGACTTCTGGCCCATGAAGAAGCGTCGCCCGGAGATGGACGCATCCGGTTTCCATGGTGACACTTTCAACAGCGGGTTCGGGGACTTTTGGCCCATGAAGAAACGTCGCCCAGAAATGGACGCTTCCGGCTTCCACGGTGACACTTTCAACGGCGGTTTCGGAGACTTCTGGACCATGCGGAAGCGGTCCACGGCCAACGGCACGCTGGCGCAGTAGGAGCTCGCAGCTGCCGGAGACTTGTGTCCGTGCTGTGCTGTCACCCGAGACCGTCGCCCCGCTGCCCGCCGAGCTCGCCCGCTGTCGCCCATCGCCCTGTCGCCGTTCTCGCCGTCGCCGCCGCCGCCGTCGCCGCCGCTGCAGCTGTCGTCGGCGCCGCCGCGCCGCCCAAAGATATTTTTGTAACCGCCCGCTGCCACCCCTACCAGAGCTCGGCCGTTGTCGCCGCATGTAAAGTGTTATTTTTCAGAGAATAAACCAAAGTGTTTCGAAACAGTCCTAGCAACAGAAGTCATTTGCTTCATTTGTCCCCTGGTACATTGCCTTCTTTCTTCCTAAAGATATTTGAAACAGTATTCTACATGTAGATAGATTTCCTCGAAGTTGTACTCGAACTTTCTGTAAATGTGCTAGTAGTCGAAAGTAACTCAACTGTAATGAATCTTTTTGGGTAGTATCAATTGTTTGTATAACTAAAACGATATGAAGAGTTAAACCCAGATTGCAGCGGATTCAAAATGTCTATTTCACGATGAGACTGATCTAGGTAAAATTGTATGGGCACATATATTTTCGAAAGTGTCCTCCTTGAGAATGTTTTAAGAGTTCCGAACTTTACCTTTTGTTAAAAATATTTACTAAAGCTAAATCATTTTTTATTACCGATGAATACGCTACAGAGATATTTTAAATCACTAAAATAGTCATAAACGTTCGATATACATTATAGACACACGATTTGATTCCTTGGTTTCGAGAAATGACTACAATTCCTATGTTTGTTGTTCTTTTGTTATTAAACTCTAATTGGATAGTAACACCTTCAATTAGTAGCTATAAAAATACATTTACTAACTGTCCATCAAAATTATTTTTAAAAGATAAACTCCAGAAATAATTGGTAAAAATTGTACCTGCTGAAATATACTCAAGTATAGTTATGAATATATAAGTTATTTCACTACTGCATTACAATTGCTATGAAGTGATGAGAGTGCTTTTAAACCGTGAATACTGATGTATTTTCATTAACATCACAGTTTTTACATCACAAACGTTAAGTTTTTTAAGCAGTCAGTTTGAACAAGATAGGTAGTGATTTAATCATATCCATTGAAGTATAACACAAATAAATTAGCGTTTTCATTCAAATTGGGCGTTCTTTTAAACATAATTCTATATTACTGAAGCAACTCTCTCATTTCATAATGCAAAAGTGATAAGTGCGTAATGCAAATGAACGAATATGCTCATATATACTACATATTTTCAAACTTTTTAAAACAATGGTTCGAAAACATTTTCTTTCACCGTTGAAAAAATGTAATAGCATGACGAATAAATTGTAGTCTGTTTTATATTATCATCTTCCAAAAATAATGGAAGCATATTCGTTATTTTGCTTCATTAATGCCATATTAGTGAGAGAAAAATAACAACAAACGTTCAGTGTTAAACGTGATATGTAAAATGCTAGGGAGTGTGCAGACATTTTCTTGTTTATAAAGATGACTGCTGATGACTTGAAAAAATACACTTAAATCAGAAATATATTTGTTGTCACTCAATTGTATGCAATGGCTGTAATAAACTGTGAACATTGATGAATAGCTTTATTATAAGATAATCAGTGCATTTTCGTAGAAATATATGGATGATAAATATTAGTTACACCGAACAACAGCACAAAGGTTGAAGTCAGTGTAAAAATAAATGAAATAATGTGTTGAGTCGAGTTTTAGTTCCAAAAGGTCTCAGGACAAAAGTCTTTTAAACTCCATTTCAATACGAAAAAAGTTAAAAGTAATTTTGTATTAATTTCTTTCCATTTATCGTTAAAATATATTAACCGAGCTTTACGTTACAGTGATTCCAGTTACAAAGCACGAAGCTCTGGGAATTAGTGAAAACATTATAATATTCCAAGTACACCTACTAAGTTCGCATCATCTGCATGAGCTGACTCACTTTAGGTACTGTCAGCTATTGTTGAAATGTCTATTAAATCATAACAAATTTCTATAAAAAATATGACGCAGATAAAAATAAACAATACAGAATTACTATAGGGAGTTATAAATTCTAAAAATTTACTTCTAAAGAAGCTCGCGTATTTAATACCGAGTCAGTTATGCATCGGGTGTAATGTGTAATTGTCCTACTTCACGAATAATACATTCTGAAGTTTCAAATGGAAATGACGAGTGCAAAGTTCTGAAAAGAAAAACAACAATAGCGCTAATTGAAAAATAAGTGTTTAAAAGACTGCGTTGAGAAGATAAGAGTAAAAGGGCGTAGCGGAAACGTGATTAACTGTCTTGTTTTCGGGTCCACTAGTAAGTAAGAAAGTAATTAAATTAATAATTAAATTAATAAATCACAGGTCACAAATATTTGAGCAATGAATCACTTTGACGGTGAAAAAGTACTGTGAATAACACATTCTCATCCTATAGGTATGCCAGATTTATACAAATAGGTGACGCTCGCGTGCAGATAAATCAACTCCATCGGCGGTAGTTAACCAAATAATCGATGGAGAAAAATCCTATATATTTCCGAGGCAACCGAGTACGCAAGCAAAAGGCACGATGAAATTACTGCTAAAAATGACAGATAGCCCAGAAGCCACGAAATACAACGCTTGTTTTCGACTTGTTTCTGTCAATGGTGATGAATCAAAATACTCATGTGTCGCGATAAGTCGCGCAAAAAGCACGCTCCTGTGCGTTAAATTTTACCTACCAATCAAAAGCCAGCTGAATTGAACAATGCTGAACGCTAGAGGCGAATAACTATTTTCTCACATTTTCATAAGCTACTACGAGCGACGTTTTAATGAATCATACACTCCATACGGCGAATGTTGGTTATATTGTATTTAAGATGAACAACAGCAAAAATAGATCATGCAAAAATAGCCTTTGAAATTGATGTAACCTAATACAACATGAACAGAATTATACAATACAGGAAGCGAGCAACTGAGTTGTCTCAGGGCAACAGCTGACGTCACTGCAGTGTCACTATCCCGAAGGTCCTGGGGTTCGAGTCCCTAGGGCACGCGACAGGATCTTCGACACTAATTCTATAGCTGGGTCGGATTCAGCCACTACCTGGGAGATAACTGCGGGGTCCGGCTGGACTGATCGGTAGTTTTTCGTAGTTTCTTCTACCGATATCAGATGAATGCAGAATTAGTACACTAACAAAAGGACCACGGACTGCACGCGATCTTTCCTTTTTCTTCCTTGCCCTATCTTAAGCTCTTGTTTATACATATATGTCACTACCACACACATCGAGAGACAGGCCGAGAAGAGCTTGTCCTGACTGGGAGATACCTGGATGAGAAATGCACCGAAAGGCGACATGCCGGTCGATGCCGAATCTCACCATCATGACGAGGAAGAACTCTGACATCTCCCATGATTAAGAGATACACTGCACTCACAGGACTAATGAACATGACTGTTGATGAGACCCAAACAAGAAATTATCAATCAATCAATACAGGGAAATTTCAATGTCTTATTCAAAGTGTTCTAACAAACTTCATCGAAAAATATTTATTATCATTATTAATGTTATTAAAATCTAATTTTGCATAATTATATTACCGTAAAAACGTTCTACAAAAATGGATGTTCTAAAGAAATGCTACATATGCCTCAGTAAAACAGGAACAAATACTGAAATAATAAGACCGTATCTGATTGTCCTTGTGTTATATTTACGACAAACAAGTATGGTTTCGCATGTAGCAACAAAATTGTTTTCGAATTTTGCATTGTTAGCTACATTGCTGCTTACACATATGGTGTATGTTTTCCCATTCGGGAAATTTCCCAAGAATCGTTTCGTGACGGCCTCAGTGGTCGTAGTGGCATTACCGTTAAATTCCTTTAGCACTAAACACCACTATCAAGTAGCAACATTGTAATAGTATTCTGCCTTTCATTAAAAAAAAATATTTTCGGGCAACGTTCTTCGTTCATTCTTTTCATTTGCCCATACGATTTTTGTCTTTTCATTTCTATGGCGTCAATTATTTTAATAATTACCTCCCCTTTACGTTGAATTTCTTCATCCTAAACTTTATCCATGAAAGTCAGTCCGCAACTTCGACGCCAGTAGTCTATTTCCATTGCTGTCATTTTTTAAAACAACCTTATAAATACAATAGTCTTGTACAATATCTTCTTTACACTCTTATTTAATTTATCTTTCCATATCAATGGATGTAGTAATTGTCTTATTGACACTTTAACTTTTGTAATTACGTTTCTAATATCTTGCGTACTACCTCCATTTGCATTTATTTCTGTATTGAGATATTTGCTTTTTGACAGTGTTTTACTTCCGAACCTTCATCCAGTTTTAGACCTTTAGCAGTTCCTTCTACAACCATATATTCAGCCTTGTTAAGATTTATTTCTAAACCCCATTTCAAGTATTCTTCATATAATTTCTGCAGCATACAATACATGTATATAGAGCATCGTCTTCATCTTCAGCGAACATCACCTGATCATCTGCAAAGTGGAGAGAAAATAACGTAGAGTGACCAATTTTAATATCCATATTACTACATTTCTTCCTGTATTATATTATAAAAATAAGAATGTTGTGTGTTATAATGAACGGTTAGACTACTATTACACTTAAACGAGATAACAGACGTAAACATACGAATTCGTATTTAAGTTGCAACATACCTATGTTACAAGGGATTTTCACAATAAACTTCGATGGAAACGAAGACCAAAAGTATTACTGCATTTTCATAACATATCAGTCGTCATTTATTTCTTCCAGATTCAAAAATATGTGTAAGAGTAAGCAGCGAAAAACCTCAGTTATATCGAATTTACACATTCCAATAATGTTATCATTGACGTGGCTGTGAAAGGTATTCGGAAATTGATTTAATTGAAAATCATAATGATTCACCAACAGATTTCTTAGATTGTGAAGTTGTAAAATGGAATAAATTGAAT